ACACGTGTCAGGGACTCGTCCGTCGGAGTGTGAACTTGGGATAACATATGGGGCTGAGAGGACGGCGCATTGCACATTGGGTGCACCATCTCGGACTTGCGCGCTTGAGTTTCTTTCGGTGGTAACGCTCGTGGGAGAGTGCAGAATCGTCGAGTCGTTACTGAGATTCTGAACTGCATTAGCCATCATGCTTCATCTTTATTGTATTTATTTGAAAAGCTTTCTTGGTAGAAGATTGAATTTTTTATGTTGGATAAAGATCATATAGTCGAGCACAACACGCAAGTATTGACTGTGTCGTCCGGGGTGGAGTTACAGATGAGTCCAAAACCCAAGCATGGTTTCGGCAGTCTGAAAACCGCAAGAAGGTACCGCCTCACGCAACATGCACGAACGCGCTACTTGGAGTTCAAAGCCAACGATCGGAACGGTGCGGTTTTGTCCGAGAATACTTCAGAAAATGCAACTCGATGTGTTTGAGCAAAGACAGCTACACCGTCCGCAACCAAGGACTGCGATGGAAAATCCGGCAATGCACCAACAATACTCTTTTTCGCGATCAGCTTCAGTGTAGATACAATGTGAAACCGTGAGAGAAGAGCCACGGAATCAACATGGCGCAGCAACTTCTCTTCAAAAGCGTGACTCCATCCGCAAAAGGAGAGAGCAGCTTGTGGAGACAACTTTGTGGATGTAGATACCGTTGTTTCGGATAACTCTTTGAACGAACAAAGTGTTCGGAATCGAGGCGGTTTCATTCGCAACTGTGACAGGTCATACGATCTATATTCCCTGTGTCGATTCGTTTCCGTGATTTCGAAAAGCGGGAGTACGATTGAATATGAAAAAAAGAGAAAGTCACCAGAGAGTGTCGATTGAAGACTGCCAGTTCTATGTCGAACGGGGTCAGACCTGAACTGGACCTGAAGGACAGCTCTAGTGCCTCACTGAAAAGTAACGGCCGGAGGAAGGCCGTGATGGCGATCGGGATCCAATCGTTCTTCCATTGTGGGCAGATGCTGATGTGGTGAGGTCGCGCATGGGACACTCGCACAGGGTGACAGGATGAAGGGATCGAAAAAGCACAAAATCTGAGATTATCCTTGAAAGTCAGAGGCGATGCGTTTCTGAGTCAGCTCGGTGAGTGCCGAGTGAAAAGTCTTGAAACGGGTTCATTTGATTCGTTCCTCTGTGGGGAGAGAGACCCACAACGAAGACCCATTCAGGGGCGAGCTCGGAGACGTAAAATCGCGCCATATTCTCTAGAATATCCCTGCGGTTGCTGCGAATGACTGTACAAAGTAGCGCCTCGTCCAATACTGGACATTTATCATCGGGTCGTAATTCCGAGAGTACACCCCTTCACCCGAGGCTCTTCCGTCAGCTTTTCCATCGTTTTCCCTTCGCACAAGATGTTCGTCGCAGCTCAGAGAAAGAGTAGTCGCCAGGATGCCTGTTCCATTGACATATACACACCCAATGATGTAGGATATCCAACTTCGCCCGTATGACCATCACTCCCGGCAGTCCAGAACGTTCTCCAGCACATTGTTTTCTTTGATGTTTCGGAGGCTCGAAGGTCAAGACATGTTTGGTTGTTGCGAGAACAGAGATCTTCACGTCGCCGCATTAACAATGATAAACGAGTGACCACTTTTCGCCTCGCACTCATTATGGGCATAGTGTAAACTCATTCAGCACATTTTTGGGAGCGGCTATTCACGCGTTCGTTTGCGTTACCATTGTTGAGAGTCTAAAGTGGTGATGCAAGGTAACGTTGTGAATATTGCTAAATGAAAATATATATGTAATAATGGCTATCTGATATTTACATAAATGAGGGGTTGGCGTAATGGTAGCGCGTCCGACTCCAGATCGGAAGGCTGGGGGTTCAACTCCCTCACTCCTCACTTTTTGGCGCTCTTGCATTTTGCATTTTGCCGAGCGAAACGTTTCGGCCAGTTGAAGTTTTTGTTTTGGCCCGTGAGTTGGGGTATGTGTACTTGAGGCTCAAGTGGAACCACAGTGGGCTTCGTATGCAGATACCACAAAGATGTAATGAAGCTCTTTCATATGTAAAAGGGGACACAGGGAAAAATCAGGTGATTCCCATGGCTGATTACCATCGCTTTACCAATGTGAATTTTTCCCTGGATGGTAATTTCTTTGAGACCACACAGGTAATGTGTCTTTTCCACCCATTTACCATTCCCTGAGATCCATGTGATACATTAGACCGTAGGTACTTGGCAAAATACCATCTGAACCTAGGGTAATCATCAATTGTATTCAGCATGATACCACGTTGTGTTGATACCAACCCCTGCTTGTAGTGATTCCATTACAACTCTGAGAAATATACCACGTGGTAAATTGAGAGGGGAATTCAAGAATACCTTTGCTACAATATAGTCTCCTCTCTGTCTTGTTTTACCACCATGGATAAAAAGACAGAGTCCACGAGATCCTCATGTGTATATAGTATTTACATTCACTAAAATCTACTTTAAGAGATGTCTTTCACCCATCAGGAACTGGACTAATGTGTTGGCACATATCACAGTAGACTTCTCAACCTCAAGGTGCAGATGGTGTGTTCCAGGGACAAGGTGAAACTGTGTTATGTATGAATCAACGTACCACCAATGTTATAGGTTTTGAATACACAGAGTATGATAATTAGTTTCTCCACACCTCACACACACCAATTCACTTACCTGAAAGTTTTTGAGCCCAACAGAGGTCTGCAACAGAGCAATCCTTTTCTCAACTGTGTGTTTCCTCTCTTCTTTTCTATAGAAACTATCAGTTCCTGCAATCACCATTACTGGACATTGTATTGCCATGAATGTAGCCTCAATCCCAGCAGCAGTAGATCCAAGGTACACTGCATGAGGTACTGTGAGTTTCACATCTGAAGACCATGAGTATCCCAGGAGAGAGTTGGATGTTTTATCATGAACAGGTACCAGTCCCCTCTTGCAGAGGATATGGGCAGCAGTTTCTGATATTGGTACAAGAGCTCTTGGATGACTCCTCACTTTCACAGCATCCTCAATAGTTGGAAAGATTGTCTTCTGGCTGTTACGCTCTTTGGCCTCCAGGTAAACTCTCAGATTGTCTGGTGTCCTTGTTTCTGGAAGTGCCAGAGGACCAAAGTTGTCGACAAAGGTGAGAGACTGAGGAAGAGTTGGGAAGGTACCAGCAGCAGTGGACAATATAGAGGCACCCACTAAGTGGCCAACAAAGTGTGGTTTAGGAAATGGAAGTCTTATCAGGTGAAAGGAATTAAAACAAGTGACAGAATTATGGACAAATGATTTCCAGGTGGTCAAAATGTGCAAAACACCAAATAAACAATGTAACTACTCACTGTTTGAGGACTTTATACACATCAAGCACACTGTTTTATGCCAAGTTCAAATTGCTCTCTCCAAAGTGCTAAAAAAGACTGAATCCAATATTCACAGAACACTCACTGCTGACTGAGCAAGTAGGTTCCTTCTGTAACATGATCTGAGCGTCCATGACCTGCCACCTATAACACAAAGCATGTAGGCAAGAGTCCAGGAGGGCCACTAAGATGTATATTCCCCTAACATATGTACGCTGTAGGAGTGATTGCTGCACTCACATCCAAGCATACAACATCCCATGTAGAGCTTGGAGACTTTAATTTTGCATATTGAAACATGAGCGGGACCATAACGTCGAAAGTTGCTGCGTTGTCGAGGTACTAATAACGAAAAAGTTGAGCTGCCGCATCACTAAACAGCAATGCTCGCATACAACAGCTCCACCCACCCCATGTAGCATCACAACCTGAACAGGCTTCGCATTCAAATTCGTGGAGTTTCCCATCGTCCACCGTTTTCCAGCGATTTGATGATTCGGGGCCACGAGGAACGAGACTTCGTCGCATCGGTAGTCGAGCTGAGAGGGCAAGTCTGAGCCATCAGGACTCAATAGGGACAAAGAATTGTTCTCAAACGACGAGAATATGCGCTCGATTGGACGAAGATTAATCGGTGAGGGCTGGTGGAAAGAGGCGTGCAAGTTTTCTGGTTGCGAAAACGAGCACCATGAAAGGGATCGCCAAGAACCGGAGAGGGAGGCCGAGAGAATTAATCCATGAGAAAAAGCTGAAGGCAATCGCTGCCAGTGTGGGCAAGTCAGTTGGAAAATCATCGGATGAGTACACCACTTCCCTTCAGCTGGTGATACTGTGAGACACAAACCCTGCCCCCTGTTCGACCTTTCGCGGTTGTGGCAAGTGTTTGTGCCCCATCACTATAAGATTTATGATATTGAATATATTTCGCTTATACAATGAAAAGAATGTCCTCTGATGATGTGAAACTGGACACGAATTGCCTTACCTCCACTACGTACTGAGCACAACACTTCCACGCTGCAACGCATGTTTTCCCGCGTTTAGTTCCACACTTGTGCAGCCTGTGTTGCTCGTTGGTGCGAGTGCTGAACCAAGCGGGGGAAGGCGACAGTAGAGACGTTACAGTCACAATGAAAGAAACCATCAGAGTAAACACAGTTTCAACCTGGGCACGAAACAAGCGACCAAGCGGCCCCAATGTCAATGAAATTTGCTCGCGTAAGATATCCACTTCCACTCTTTGAACAGATTCAAGCGGAGCAAAAGAGTTGGGTTGAGGTACCACCGGTAGCTGAGAGGGTCGGGTCTGCCCAGGCGTACTTCATATATAGTGAAGCATCTCCGTCACATGATGCGCCGATTCACCTGTACCTGTGCATCGAAACACACTCCAACACAGCTTCATTAGAACGCGAGTCACCGCATGTGATGGTGGACCCCGAGAGAGATCGCACATCCGAACGGTCCGGAGCACGTGCGAAACAGTGAGAGGGAACGAATATCATTCACAGTATATTCGAATAGTGGGTCCTGAGAGCTCCATACGCTACGTACTAAGACATGCCACTTTGGTCGCCAGAGTTCGCTCTTCCAGCAAATCGAATCATCATCGTGTGCCATATCGGAGAACAACATAACAGAATGACATTCAATAAGGATAACATGGTCAAATCCGCATCGCGAAGCAAATCACCACGCCAACAAGGTGGGCTGACACATCGCCAGCGCAATGGCCTGCCGTGAAAAAGATCCAACCACATGGCATGGCAAACTTGGCGCCAATCGCGGTTAGTACGGACTTCAAAGAGAAGACACCGTCGATTGCTCGCACGCCTATCTTGAAACCCAGCGGCCTGGGGAAAAGCTCCGAAGACTCTTCATTGTCGACGCTAGTTCATTCACCATTGAACACGTCCATGTCCGCATCGGGCCTATTCACTAGTGCATTTTGTTCACGCTCTGTCAGTCAAAAGCCAAATCCGAATCCGCAGAAGCGTAAATGAACCCTTGGGTAACACAACGTGAGTGCTCCAGCCGGTGTTCAGACCCTCCACCTCGCCGCGAATATGGTTCAACAATGACGCCATGTAATGTCAAGTCACTTCAGCAATATGGAGCTCAGACCGCAGGCGGGTGGGGTGAGGTCCGTATTCAAAGGGTTTCCTTTGTGGACTGGTCGGTGCGAGGAAGGTTTCTTGAGCGGTGCATCATACGGTGGAAGCCACAGCGAGATGTCGTTCCAGTTACCACACCACGTAGCAAAGGAGAAGTCCCTGTCCATCGTCCTTCGCGTTCCTCGTATATCATCCCGTCCAAAAACACAGGTGTTGTACGGTCCCATTCGATGTAGTAAAGCCAAGCAACAGTGATCCTCTACACGAGGACTAGGCGTGAGTGCATTCCTGGGCGACACACATGAGAGGACGGGAATAGTGGTGTGTGACGATGTTCAGGAACATCTGGCACAGAGAATCGAGATGGAGGGCATACGCTAAGTAACGATCCGGAGGAATGAAAACGCTCCACGCGAGTGTTGAGAGAGACGTAGAGACCGAATGACCGCGGTGGACGAGTGATCTCAGTGGGAACTCGAGCTCAGTTGAAAGCAAAGAACGAGGTCAGTGAGCTGCTCCAGAGGATAAGCATGATGAAACAGAACGATTGATGGATATCGGACACGGGTCCATACCATCCAATGTTGGTGGTTCAAACTCGACAGTTACAACTCATGGACCAACCTCCGACCTTGTGTGCCTGTTCAAATT